TTTTTTTTTTTTTTTTTTTTTTTTTTTTTAAGAGAAATCCCGTTTCTATAAGTATCTGCAACCAATGCTTAGACTAGAGAATGTTTAAGTTTTACAGTTATCAGAGCTTATTCAATGAAGTTATTTTTTTAGATGCATTTTGGATAATTAGATGCCGTATACAATGGGAAGTTTCGTGTTTGTAAGGTGCCGTTATTTGAAGCTCCGAAACCCGTATATCCAACCGGAGGATTGAACAGAGCTCCAGCAGATGCCTAAATACGATAATTACGAATCATAAAAAATATGCAAAACTTACTTTACAATGTTCAGTAAAAAAGATCTTATTTTTTAAAGAAAATGAGGTAGTCTACTTTTGCTAGTTTTTATAATTCCAAATTTTATTAAAATGCAAATTGAATTATTCGGTACTTGTCTTTTGATCAAATTTTTTAAGACTAATTTTCGTGTTTGTGGCGATTTTGCATATTTAGAAAAGTGTTTTGTAAATTTTCGTAACCTTATTTAGCAAAAAGACTAACGCATTATAATCAAGCCAAAAGATAATCGTTTCAACAATCTTAAGATAATAAAGTTTTTATAGACTGCTGTATGTTAGACACAAGACAGGCAATTGCAAATGTCGTTATCAAATGCATTAAATTACCTATTGTAGGTTATATAATTTAGAAAAAAAAGGTCAAATAAAAAAGATTTGATTTTAAAACAAAAAAAAAGAATATTTTTTGATTACTTGAAATTGCGGAGCAATTAACGATCTGTAATTAGCTGTCGACCATGGTGAATGAATAAATTCAGCAGATGGATGCAGCCTTGACTGTGGAAACAGTTCTGCCGATGTAGCATTGGCTTGAGGTTGAAGTGCTTGAGCTATTCCTTAAAAACCGTAATGTGTATCAAAATAGTTTTTTTAGCGTAGTTGCTAAAAAAAATAGAAATAAGAAAACTAACAAAAAATACATGTTTAATTTACCTTGAAAATCAAACTTGTACGCATATCGTTTGCCATGAACTTTACACATAATATTCTTATCATAGTAATATCGTAATGCTCGACTCATCTTATCATAGTTCATATTTGGTTTACTTTTTCGTTCACCCCAACGACGTGCTACCTCGTCTGGATCCAGCAACTTAAATTCACCGCTGGTACCTTCCCAAGTAATAACATCTGCATTACAGCTATCTGATAGCAGTTCCAATAAAAATTGCCAAAGTTGAATTTGTCCACTTCCTAAACAGTTGACTAAGTCCTTGATGTTTTTTTATCTTGAGAAGTAAAAATTGCTTTCGAAAAGCTGTTAATGAAAGGGTCGTAACAATTGATTATTTCAATTATTCATTAAATACTGAGAGTTTCAATTTTTAAAACAACCCTGAAGTTTTTTGATGATTAAGATGTAATTTTTTAGTATTTATTAGTGCTGTTAATTTGACATAATGGTTAGTTGAAGAATTTTGCACAAACACAGTTTCAGAAACAAACCTGCGCTTGCCAAACGACTGCTGGTTGGACCAAGAATCTGATACGGATCTGCAAAAAAAAATAAAAAAAAAAACTATTTTTTCTGTTGCTCTTTGAGTTTTTTCTTCTTCGTTTTGCCTTAGTAGTCAAAAAAATGTTCAAAAGATTGATTGCTGTTCATCTGATGCTTCGATAGCCCTAACTAGCTGAATTGAATTGCCATCAAAAGTCTAATGACAAATTCAGTGTTTTACTGAATTGTTTACTGATTAGGAGAAACACGAGCACACAAACAAAAAAAGAGGGGGAGAGAGTTTAGATCAAATGAAGAAAAGACAATAAGAAAATAGAAGTATTAGAAATCTGAAACAGTGAAATAAAAGTAGAGAGAGAAAAAGGAATAAAGAAGGAAAAACAAGAAAAAAAAAACCGATGCGAATGAAATAGCAGTGAAATGTTTTTGGACACAAAACGAAACCTTTCCTCTGCAAATTAGCTTTATTCAATTTTTTTCAAAAGATTTCTTGCATCTTTTTGAGTGGCTTTATTTTCGTCGATAAATTTTTATGGTTAAAAAAAGTTGCAGAAGAAAGAGAAGAATTCTTTTCCTTTTTTTCAACACTAACAGAACAGTCAATATGACTGACGAAAACAGCAAAAACGTTAGCGTTCATATACAGGAAGCCTTTTGACTGAGCATCCTGACACCCTTCTAAGCCCCTCCTGTGTCCCCCCCCCTCCTCTCCCCCTCCGTTATCCCGCATCTCAGCTGTTACCCCTTTGGTTGGCCCATTGAAAAACGGTTAATTACTGCTTTGCACTGCTGGACGCGCTTTTGATTTTGAGCTGCTGCTGCTGTTGTTTGGTTACATACTGTAAAAGACGATAATTAAGTTGGGCTCATTAAACCAAAAAATTAAAGCCTAATTCATTGAAAATTATTGAAAGAGAAAATGAAGAAAGTTTAAATTAAGTTCTTGCAAAAAGAAAAAATAAAGCGAATCGTTAGTGATATCAAAATCTTTGCTTTTTTTTTTTTTGATCTTAAATCTTGAAAATAAAATTTTCCTCAATTCTACTTTTTTTTCACTCTTTTTCTTATCTATTTATTTACTATTTTTGTTTGTTTAGTTGTTAAATGTTAGTTTTTAGAAAATAAAGTTTTTGCCATTAGCACTGATAATCTGAGTTATTTTGAAAATTACATTTTCAAAACTGAAATTAAATGAAACTTTCATGAAAATAAAACAACAACAACAACAACAACAACAGTAGAGTAAGCAAAAAAAATTTTTACTTTTCTTGTAACTATTTTAAAATAGTTGAATAATTTT